GCTGTCTGTAACAACTGCTATCAAGACAGACTGGACCTGCAGAAGAAATGGGAGTTTTTATTTGTTTTTGTTTGTATTTCTTCTCATTCAGCAAACTGAAATAAAAACATGGTATAACTAACGTAATGAGTAGTTATTTCTGCATTGAAAAGCTGTGATTTAAACTGTGATTTAAAGCTATGATTTAAACAAGTATCCCTTGTGATTCTAGAAAGTCTGAGGAACAGAAATACATTAAATAATGAAATTAGTTTCTGTGAATATAATTATCTAAGACCACCTTTCAAAAACTTTTTAATTTGTTCCCCTAATTGTGAGGAATGCAGGCCTCATTGAATTTAGAGTGTAAATCTGAGACCATCCTCACATCTCTCGAGGTTGCTGGCTGACAGCTGAGACTCTTCAGAACCTCAGTCCACCATCATATGCTGTAACTGACTTAAATCTTTTAAAAATTTTGTTCTTTTATCTGAAATAACAAAAGGTGTTTATATCCTGATTTTATTATAACCTGACTTGATAGATTTTTCCAGGGTATAAATAAGGCAATACAAAGTTTTCATTTTTCTTCCCATTGCCTGCTCTAATTAAAAAAAGCAATCCCAGCTTCAGGGAAGTTGGGAAATGCTGGGAAGGGCTCAGAGAACGGTTTTGATGACAGAGGTTGATTGGGGGACTGGGTAAGGGTCCCACAGCAGAATGATGCTGGGACCACAGGTGAGCGGGACCTTCATGCACTTTTCCCAGGTACCAGCAGAAACCAGGATGTCGAAAGTTCTGGGTCTACAAGCACATCTGGGATCAGACCAAACTAATGGCCAGCATAGTAGGGTTTTGGCTGAAAGCAAGGCATTCAAACTCACAGAACTGGGCTCTCCGTCAAGGATCCATCAAAGAGATGAAGCCATATAGAAGTCAAAGTCCCAACTGCAGTGCTACACTTCTGTATCTGGATACTGTTGGCTGCCTATCACAGAAGATCCAACTCCAATGGGCTTGAACAGTGAAGGGGTCCTTGGCTCCATGGTCCAGTTCCATGTGAGCCCCATACTGAGCCTTATATGCAGATGAAAGCAACTTTCCTCAGATGCCTCAGGCAGCCATTTCCTCACATCTCTGTGACCCAAATTTTAAGTTAATGGTGGAACTGCAGTTGCATAGAATATCCTTATTTTGAGAAAATGCAAGGTGAAGTATTTATGGGTGACGTGTGTTGATGTCTGTAACATTTTCTTTTTTTCTTTTTTTTAAAATATATTTTTATTGATTTTGTACAGAGAGGAACATCCATGAGAGAGAGTCATCGATCAGCTGCCTCTTGCACACCCCCCACTGGGAATATGCCCGCAACCAAGGTACATGCCCTTGACCGGAATCGAGCCCGGGACCTTTCAGTCCCCAAGCCGACGCTCTATCCATTGAGCCAAACCGGTTTTGGCATGATGTCTGTAACATTTTCAAATGGTTCAATTTTATATATACATAAGTAGGGTAAATGGCAAAATGTTAATTGTTAGAGCTAGGTAGAGAGCATATGGGTGTTCATGGCACTCTTTAAATTCTGTGTGTTGAAACACCGTATTTCACAAAGTTGGGAGATATTTTAGATTTTTTATTTAAACAATCACTTAAAATATTGCCCTGTGGGCATGGATGTTTTAGGTAGGGTTTCTCTAAATATGGTCTCTGGACTGTCGGTATAAGAATCACAAAAGAAATATCCGAATGGCCAATGAGTTCATGAAAAAAAGGTCAATATTCTGTCATCAGGAAAATGCAAATGAAAACCACATTGAAATTCCACTCCACACCCACCAGAATAACCAAATATTGACAAGGTTGTGGAGCAACTGAACCCTCGTGTTCTGGTGGATTGTGAAATGGCTGCTTTGGAAAACAGTTTGGCAGTTTCTTATAAATTAAACATATCCTTGCTATACAACACCAGGTAATCTTACCATAGGTACTGAAGAGAAATGAGAATGTATGTCCACACAAAGGCTTGTATTCCAATGTACATAGCTGTATTCGTAACAGCCTCAAACTGGAGGTAACTGATATCACCAAATAGATGAATAAATTCTGATACCTTCCTACAAAACAAAGACCTACTGATAAGTGCAGCAACATGTATAAGTCTTGAAAACCTTATACTCAGCTGAAACAGCAGATATCAAGCAGTACATATTGTACGATTCTTGTACATGAGATCCTGGAACAAGCTGTAGAGACCAAAGGTAGATTTGCTTGGGTCTAAAGATTCAGGAGGGAGGCTTGTTGACCACAAAGGGACATGAGAGAACTTCTTAGAGTATTGGTGCTATTCTATATCTTGACTGGCAATTGTTATGCAGGTGCCTACGTTTGTTAACAGGTACTGCTGAGGTGAATGCATTTCTTTTGATGCAAATTAAACCACAAAGTTTACTTTAAAAATATACATATATACTTTATTTTTTTTCTGGTAGCAAGGTACAGGCTCTTTTAGACAGCATTTCTCAAAATGTGGCTTCTGGCCCCTCTGCATGAGAATCACCAAGAAAGCTGGTAGAAACCTCACGTGAGGGCCCTGACCCACTGAATCAAAAACTCAGTACTTGGGGGATGGTGAGTTCCACGTGCTTAACACAGGTGACTGTTCCACAGACTAAGATGTCCAGAGCTGCTCCTCGGGGCTGCTGTGCCCGTCAGTGTCAGAGGCTGGTCTCCAAAGCTCCATGGAACGAGCCAGTGCTGGTGGCAGCCTTACTAGACGTGAATGTCAAACGATAGCACCTGGACGAGCCTGATGGGAAATAGACTGGGAACATTACTCAGAGGAATTCCGTGCAGACCAAGCTGCTGTGTGACTTCCAGATTGTTTCATAGGAAGGGAAAGACCTGCTCTGAAGGTGATGTGGAAATTTGTGAGCATGTGCCTCCATCGTGGGTTATTACAGGCTGGAGGGAAAGGCAGCAGTGGAATTGTTTTTCTGAAGCTAGTAGTGCTCAAGATGACTGCATGTCAGAATCTTGTGGACCTTTTTAAAAAATTCATTGCCCTGCCAAAACCGGTTTGGCTCAGCAGTAGAGCGTTTGTCTGCGGACTGAAAGGTCCCAGGTTCAATTCCGGTCAGGGGTATGTACGTTGGTTGCGGGCACGACCCTGGTAAGGGGTGTGCAAGAGGCAGCTGGTCGATGATTCTCTCTCATCAACGTTTCTAGCTCTCTCTCTCTCTCTGTAAAAAAATCAATAAAATATATATTTTTTAAAAATTCATCGCCCTAACCAGTTTGGCTCAGTGGGTAGAACATTGGCCTGCGGACTGAAAGGTCCCAAGTTTGATTCCAGTCAAGGGCCATGTACTTAGATTATGGGCACATCCCCAGTAAGAGGTATGCAGGAGACAGCTGATTGATGTTTTTCATCAATATTTCAATCCTTCTCCCTCTCTCTAAAAAAATAAAATATTTTTAAAAATATAATTTCTTTTTATCAAAGTAGTACATGAATATGAGTTTTGTGTTATTTTTTTTAAAAAATTGAATGATTTTAAATTAGTACTACTAAATTTAGGATGTGTTTTTAAAAAATCAGTTCTACACGAAGTTCAAAGCTTTTGAACTGGAGCTCAGCTGGGTTGGTGAAATAACTAAAAGAAATTGTTCCAAAATATATAAGGGAAGATGTGGAGCGATATACTAAGGACCTTTGGTTTTTGTTTTTTTTTTTAATGTTTTTATTTTTTATAGAGGAAGAGGAAGATAGAAACATTGATCAGGTGCCTTCTACACTCCCCCAAATGGGGATTGAATCCAAAATGCAGGCATGTGCCCTGATCAGGAATAGAACTGGCACTTTTGTCTCCATATTTCTAAATAATAAGCTTACACTTTTGATTTCTTGGTTTGCCAACTTTGGACAGAAACTAGTAATGTCCTAATAAGCTCATTCTCTTACTCCCCTTCTTCACCAAGTGCAGCTAAGTACCTTTCAGATTCCCAGCCCTCAGCACCACTCCGGGCACCTGTGTCCTGGGACTCCCAAGCCCTGGTACTTGGCCCTGAACCTGGGAGGAACGCAAGGGCTCCTGATGTTGAACCAGCCTGATGCACCAGGCGCAGGATGTGTGCTGAGAAGGGCTTTGAAGTGAGTGGAAATCGAACATGGTATCAAGCCCGCGGGTTAATTTGCAGTTGGAATGAGAGCCCAAGGTGTTAAAGACTTTTATTGCTTGTCAGGTGTGCTGTTCAGGACTCGCCATCTCTTGCTCCCGGATGGCCCATACATTCTGTACAATCTACTGGTTTACATGGACCGACAGGCTTCTCCCAGGAGGATGGAAAGTTGGTTTGTATCAAAAATTGTTGTGTGGAATGCTCAGCACAGAGATTAGACGCTGGTACAGCCTCCTGTTGGACTCCACGCTTTGCAGGAACTTCGCCTGCCACGGTGGACCTCTCCTCTGCATTGACCCAGCCCTGGCCATCAGTGTGCAACCTCCCTCTTCCTCCTCCGGGGGCCAGCACTTCGCACTCGCTGACACGGGTTGTCAGCTGTGTGCCCCTCCGCCTGGAAATGGTATTTATAGCAAAGGATGTCACTGCTGACAAGCCCTCTGGCCACAAACCAGCCATTTCATGGCTTGATGTCCACTCCAGTGAGGCTCACCTGTGATCACTAACCCTTTCCGTTCCTAGGCTGAAGGGTGCATTGTGATTAAGCAGGTAAGGGAGAGAATGGGTAATGACCATTTTCATAAGGGAGAGACCAAGGCTCAAAAATGCAACAACAACAAAAATCTCAAGGTCTCTGAACAAGTCCTCTTCAGCAGGTGGAGGCGAAGATGGAAGATGGGCTACAGAAAGCCTTCCCCAGAGTGATCTTCGCTCAGGCAGGGCCCCCAGGCACGGAGCAGGGAGCAGCGGGAGCCTGGGTCCAGGGAACAGGTCTTCCCTCCCCTCCCCCCCGCCGGGGGAAACTGTATGCCCCCACAGGGTTGGAACGGGCAGAACCCCAGTCACTTGGTCCCCTGGACACAGACCCAGGGTCTTAAAGAGGCGCAGTCCAAAGCCACAAGCCTGCCTCCCTCCAGGCCTGCGCACTTCAGACCCAACTGGTCCTTGTCTTCCTCCGGTAGCCTGGGGGAAAAGGGGAGGAAGGCACTCAGGGTGTTGCAGGCCCTCCGGTCTGCATACCCACTGGCCAGGCCTGGGGTCTGGAAAGCCCTGTGGCAGGAGTGAGGATGCCCCTGCCTGCGCTCTGGCACTGGGAGAAGCAGTAAACTCCAATTGCATATTATCTGCAGAACAGGGTGACAGTCCTGCTTGGGTGACTGCTGGGGGTCCAGACAAGGGGTGGGGTGGTGGGGACTGAACAAAACCAGGCCCTGAGCATGGGTATGGGGTCAACCAACAGGCAGGCAGGCTGGGGTGGAGCAGGGGGGCTGAAGTGTCTGCAGAGGGCGGGAGACCTCCAGCCCCTCTTTGGCACTTGCTGTGACATTATTCTGGTCACATTGGGGAGCCCATGCTAGTGCAATAGAGACAGAGCCCCCGCCCCCCCAACCCCAGGCCCAAAGTCACTCACAGCTGGGGTGGCAGAGGGTCCCCGTCGATCCAGTGCCAGCCCTGGGGGCCTCGCCGGGCCCCCACCCAGGAGTACTTGGTGACAGGGTATCTGGCCAGGAAGTCCTGAGGGAGAGAAGCCGCGGGTCACTCTTCTCTGGATGCTGGCTCGTCTCACCTGGGCTTTTGGAAGTTCCCAGCTCGCCAGGCCAGAGAAGCAACTCTGCCCAACCCCACGTGCCCACCGCCAGGAGGCGGGAAGTTGGGTGGGATGCCTGCTGGTTGCCAGGTGCTGCTCTCAGGAGGGGGCCCAGAAATGGGGGCGATCCCATCTCAGCCCTCAAGGAGAGGGGACGTGAATGTCAATCCCTTCTGAGCCACGAGGAGTGGACAGGACCATAGAGGCTCCGAGAAGAGGCGGGGAAAGGCATGAGCAGAGCGGGGCGGCTGCACAGCACGTCCAGGGAACAAGCAGCCTCACCAGGGAGGGGGTGAGTGATGGGGTGGACCAGGCTGCAGGGGCCTCCTGGGAGCTGATGGTCAACACCAGTTGCCAGCAGGAGCACCAGTGACGTTGTGTCAGTCCAGGGTGAGATAATTAAGACCATTAAAAAACATGTAGTGCTCCGGGGAGCACTACAAGGGAAGGTGTAGCACGGAGCTGTAGTATGTGAAGAGAAAGTGTAATGACACACACCCCTCCACTGCCCTCCCTCCCTGCTTACCTGGGTGTGGGTCAGCAGGGGGAGGGTGGCACGGTGGGAGGAGCAGAAAGCCTGGCTGGCCTCCCAGGCTTGAGCTTCAGTGGAGAGGTAGTAACAGTGCTCCCCGGACCACAGCCAGCCACGGGGACACGGCCGGCATCCAGCCCCTGAAAGCAGAGGCCACAGGTGAGCTGCGGGGTAAACTGTACCGAGCCGAGTGCGTGCTCCTTAAAAATTAAAACCGCTGTGACCGAGGGGCCGGCAGGGACCGCGGAAGGCTGTATACAGTGTGTGCAGGTTACAAAGCCCCCCAGGCAGGGGCTGACCCCCGTTGCCAAAGCACAGCTGGGAGGAGGCACCATACCTGTCCTAGAGGCCAGGGCCACAATGGCGACCGTGGACACCGCCAGCAGCACGGCCATGACCACCAGGGCCCAGCGCAGGGACTTCATGTACATGGGCAGCCCTGGGCAGGGGGAGGGACAACCGGGAGAGACAGGTTAGGACCACTGACGTATACCCCAGCTTCACACCCACAGGAGTACCCACTCCCCTGGCCCAGACACCAAGATAAGCCACTCATTTAGGTTAGAACATCCTGTCTGGGAGAAAAGTGCTAGATGTTTACTTTTTAAATAAGATTCTACTCAAGAAAGAGAGCAGGCCCTGGCCAGGGTGGCTCAGTTGGTTAGAGCATTGTCCCGATAGACTAAGGCCAAGTTCAATCCCTGGTCAGGGTACAGACAGGAGTCAACCAACAGATGCATAAATAAGTGGAACAACAAACAGATGTTTCTCGCTCTCTCCCTTCCTAGCTCTCAAAAACCAATAAACAAACATTTTTTAAAAAGAGGACAAATACTTGGCTAACAAGCACTTACTGTGCAGCTAATGGGCCCTAGACACAGGCTATAAATTCACCAAGAACACAGGGCAAGGCCCCTGCACTCAAGCAGCTAATAGAATGGGCAAAGGTACCAGGAGATAAAATTACAAATGAGAGCCGAGACCGGTTTGGCTCAATGGATAGAGCGTCGGCTTGGGGACTGAAGGGTCCTGGGTTCGATTCCGGTCAAGGGCATGTACCTTGGTTGCGGGCATATCCCCAATAGGGGGTGTGCAAGAGGCAGCTGATCGATGACTCTCTCTCATCGATGTTTCTAGCTTTCTATCTCTATCTCTCTCCCTTCCTCTATACAAAATCAATAAAATATATTTTTAAAAAAATTACAAATGAGAGAGGAAGGAGGGCTAGATTTGGAGTTTGACAGATCTGGGTTCAAGTTCTGACTCAAGAGTTCTTGGCTTTCCAGTTTTCACACTGACATCACACCTGCCTCTTTTATCTGTCCAGGTCTGGAGGCCACCAAGGAAGCCTCATGGGTCCAGAGAGCACGCCGCAGGCTGCAGAGCACTAGGCAAGTGTGAGCTGTCAGCAGCTCAAGGCCCCAGGGGGACCAGATGGCAGGAATGAGCTTGCAGAGAGGAAAGGAACTCCGGAGAAGGTGGGTGAGAGGGGGCCGGGGGGGAGGACAGGACCTAGCTACATCATGGATGACCTTAAAAACACTATGCACTATGTTATGTGAAAGAAGCCAGACACAAAAGGACATGTATTATAGGCAAACCCATCAAGACAGAAAGTAGACTAGTGGCCACCTGGGGCTGGGGGCTGGCTGTTAGCTAGTTGCTAGAAGATACAGACAGCACTTCTTTTGCGAGCAATGAAAACATAAAATTGACTGGTGTTGATCACACAACTCTGTGCACATACTAAAAACCATTGAATTGTATGCTTTAAATGGGTGAATTGTGTTATGCAAAATCATAGCTCAGGAAGGTGTTACCCAAATAAGCAATTTAAAAACGCTTGGAATAAAAGATACATAAATTGACAGTCTTAAAATAACAAAAGCAGAACTAAAAAAGTCTGGAGAAGGAAAGAAAAATAAATCTGCCAACCACCTCAGTAAATATAAACATTGTGACGGAACAGCAAATTCAGCTCCAATATCTCAGAAAGCAGAGCAGTAAGAAAACACAGTAAGTTACTAAAGTCTCAGGCACCTTCCACACTCAGGGCTGCAATGCAGACCTAGGAACCGCCCCCCCCCCCCCCCCCCAGCCATTGGTCTCCTAAACTTCCAGGCAAAGAAAAAGTCCTACACACCCCCTTTAGAAAGCAATTCTCCCCCCCCCCCCCCCCAAATGTTTCTACTGATTTTTAGAGAGGAAGGGAGAGGGCTACAGAGAAACATCATCCATCGCAGCCTCCTGTACGCCCCCTCCTGGGTGGGGATGGAACCCGCACCCAGGCATGTGCCCGGACCCGGAATATGGACGATGACCTCTTGGTTCCTGGGTTGAGGCTCAAATGCGGATTTACACCGGCCGGGCTAGAAAGCAATTCTTTTTTTCTTTTTTCTTTTTTTTTTTTTAAATATATTTTATTGATTTTTTACAGAGAGGAAGGGAGAGGGATAGAGAGCCAGAAACATCGATGAGAGAGAAACATCCACCAGCTGCCTCCTGCACACCCCCTACTGGTAATGTGCCCGCAACCAAGGTACATGCCCTTGACCGGAATCGAACCTGGGACTCTTGAGTCTGCAGACACTCTATCAACTGAGCAAAACCGGTCAGGGCTAAAAAGCAATTCTTAATCACACAAGTAAATACATTCTCCTTGTAAAAAAAAAAAAAAAAGAAAAGGAAAGAAAAAAAAGAAAAGAAAAAAAAGAAAAGAAAAAGAAAGAAAATACAGCCTGGCTGGTGTGGCTCAGGGGTTGAGCGTTGACCCGTGAAGTAGGAGGTCACTGGTTGATTCCAGTCAGGGCACAGGCCTGGGTTTCCAGGATAGATCCCAGGAGGGGCGTGCAAGAGGCAGTCGATCAATGTTTCTTTTATCGAAGTTTCTATCTCCATCCTTCTCCTTTCCTCCGTCTCTCTCTCTCTCAAAATAAATAAAATAAAAAGTATTTAAAAAAGAAAATACGGATGAAACTATCCCCTTTCCCCTCAAAACAAACAAACAAACAAACAAACAAACAAACAAACAAACAAACTCTCCTACTCATCTTTCCAAGCTTAGCTCCAGGAAGCTTTCCCAGGGTCCAAATTCATCAGCCACTCCCTCCTGGTTTCCAGTCCAGGATTGCTTCCATCTTTTCCAGGATTTTTCTCATTCCCTCCCAACCGCCTCCCTGCCCCGCCCCGCACAGAGCCGCACTCACACCCGCACAGGCTCCCGCCGAAGGGGCTGGAGGGGGCGGGGGCGCGGGAGCGGCTGAGACGAACGTCCCTCGGTAAACGGTGGGCGGAGAGAACCTGAGCCTGCGGGGCCGGGGAGGGCGGCCCGGGCCGGGGGCCGAGGACCTGCGCCCCCGCCGGGGCCGCCGCCGCTACGTGCCCCTGAGGCTTCCCCTCCCCTGGACTCCCTCCCCCCGGGCGGCTCGAAGACGCTGCGCTTACTGAGCGGGAAGGTACAAGTTGTCCGGAGAACGCAAGAGGGAATAGTGGTTTTATGCTTTCATCGAAAGCCACCTGACTTAGAATTACGTAGACCAGAATGGAATTAGTTCCAAGCCAGGCCGGACACCGGGAGGGCCGCTGGGTCCCCCAGTCCCTCGGGAGCGAGCCCAGGGCGGGGCGAGTGTCGGGGCGCGCGTACCTATGAGCCTGATGGCCCGGTGCAGCTTCAGGTCGCCGTCCAGCTCGGCGCGCGGCAGCAGCGCGGCGTCCTCCCTGCCCGGCTCCTGGCAGCGGCAGCGGCAGCGGCACGTGGGGGCGCCCGGGGCCGCCGCTCCGTCTTCCGCGGCGAGGCCGTGCTCCGCCCGGGGGGCCGCCAGCGGCGAGCCGCGGCTCCACGCGCTGCCCAGGGACGCGGTGCGCGGCAGCAGCGGGCCCGCGGGCGCGGCGTGGCGGGGGGAGGCGGGCGGCTCGGGCACCGGGACGGTGATGAAGCGCCGCGAGGGCGCGGGCGAGGGCGCGTGGCTGCCGCCGGCCGCGCCCACGGGCTTCACGAGCACGTCCACCTGCAGCTCCACGGGCGCCCAGCTGCCGGGCCCCGGCTCCTCCGGCGCCGCCCTGGGCACCAGCTCGGCTCCCGCCGCCTCGCCATCCCGGGGCTGCTCGGCCGCCGCGGGGCCCGGCGACGGCGGCTCGGGGGCCGCGGACAGCGGGCGGCGGAAGGCGCCGTAGCCGAGGCCGGCGGGCAGCAGCCGCAGGCGCGCGGGGCGAGGCGAGGGCAGCTTCTGTCCGCCCGAGGGGTCCGGGTCCAGGTCCGGGCCCGCGCCGGGCGCCTCCTGCGCGGCCGCGGCCGGGCTGCTCTCGGGGCTTCCTAGGCGCCGCTCCTCTGCGGGGGGCACCGGGTTTTCCAAGGGCTCCATGGGCATCGCGGCCCCGGCTCGGCCTCCTCTGGGTGCCACCTGGGCCCCCTCCATCCCGGGCGCGAAGCCACCGAGTGACGCCGGGCGGCGCTCACCTGCGCCCAGGTAGCGTGTCGGGTTCGCCTCTCCGTGGTCCCGCCCTCCCGCCGAGCTCCCGTCGGGGATTGGCTGTATCTGGGTTGGCCACGCCCTCCCAGGCACCAGCCCTTCTTGCACGGGGCCCCGGGGAAGGAGAGGGGCGGGAGGCCTGGGCGGGAAGTTTTCCGGGGAAAGGTCCGCGAGCGGAATTTAGGGGAGAACCCAGAGCCCCGCCTGACTCTTCCCTCTCCTTTGTCCCGAGTCCCACCCATTTCCTCTCCCACCCCGGCCCGCAGCCTTCGGCGGATCAGGAAAGTTACAACTTGGGCTGGAAGGGGTTGGTCAAGTCTGATCCTCAGACCTCAGAAAAACAAGGGGTTCCGAAAGAAATGGGGCGAAAGAACAAGAATAAAGAAAAAGAAAGAAATGGGGCGGCCTGCGGAAAAGTAGCCGAGCGGGTTGTCCCGACAGTGCAGTGAGAGAAGGGGCGCCTCACCCGAGAGGATCTCCCCGACCCCTTCCCGCACAAGGTCCAGGGTCAGCTCCTCTGGAGGCCTGACTCCTGCTGGCCGGGACTGAGGAATGAAAATGTGTCTTCTCATGGTGACAGGCGCTGGTCCTCCGCCAGCCCGGAGTGCTGGAATACAGGTTTCCCAACCCCGCGGGTGAGCTGAAGGCCATTAACAAAATAATAACGAATTCCTGGCTGGGCTCCACCCAGTCCTACTGAATCTCACAAGTGGATGAGGTCAGTGATATTTTTATCAAGGGCCCCAGGGTGGGATTGGCAGATAAAATGCCAGCCAATCTGTTAAATCTGAATTTCAGATAAACAAGAGGGTGTGTGTGTTTATAAGTATGTCCTAAGTGTTGTGTGGGATATACTTTGTTATCTAGAATGTAACCTGCCTCCTATATTCTTATTTGCTAACTCTGGCAACCCTGCCGCAGGAAGCTCTGGAGAGGCACGAATCAGATTCCCTTTTGGAGCCCTCAGGAAGAACCAATTCCGCTGACACCTTGACCTTGGACTTCCAGCCTCCAGAACTGTGGGGAAGCACATTTCTGGCTTTAAGACATTCGTTTGTTATGGGAACCCCAGGGAACCGATACAAGTCACCTATGCAGAGGGCGACCTGCCCTGGGACTTCTCTCCCGGCTCAGGTGGTCTCTGCACCCCCTCCCCTCACCATCGCTGGCTCCGCTGTGCCATGCAGATCTCCCTCATGAGGATTTGGCACTTGCTCTGAGTGAGCTACCCAAAGGTGGAAGTTGTCACAAGGCTCTCTGCAGAGGAGGCCCACAGACTGTCCCAGGTCCCTGGAGCCTCTCTAGTTCCAGCCCTTCCTAAAGATTGCTTGTTTAGCCCTTTTCGGCATGGCGTGGCTTGGTTGGTTGGGTATCCTCTGGTGCATTAAGAAGTCATGGGTTCCATTCCTGGTCAGGGCATATGCCTGAGTTAGAGGGCCTGCAGGAGGCAGCCGATCACATCATTTTTTTTTTTTTTTCCTCTTTCTCTCCCCCTCTCCTCCTGGTCAAAAAAAAAAAAAAAAAAAAAAAAAGATTGCTTGTTCAATTCTGGATTTCTAGGACCATCCCCTCTTTACCTTATTTATTTATTTTTTTATTAATAATCACTGGAGGATATTTTTTCCATTGATTTTTAGAGAGTGGAAGGAAGGGACAGAGAGAGAGAGAGAGAGAGAGAGAGAGAGAGAGAGAGAGAGAGAGAGAGAGAAACATTGATTGGTTGACTCCCACATGATGCAGGGGATCAAACCTGCAGCCTTTGACTGGAAATCAAGCCTGCAATCCTCATGTGTGGCTGGTGCTCTAACCATTGAGAACACTGGCCAGGGCTGCTTTATTTATTTATTTATTTATTTATTTATTTATTTAATATATTTTATTGATTTTGTAGAGAGAGGAAGGGAGAGAGATAGAGAGCTAGAAACATCGATGAGAGAGTCATTGGTCAGCTGCCTCTTGCACACCCCCTACTGGGGATATGCCCACAGCCAAGGTACACGCCCTTGACCGGAATCAAACCCGGGTCCCTTCAGTCCCCAAGCTGATGCTCTATTCATTGAGCCAAACCAGTCTCGGCAGGGGCTTCATTGAGTTGAGAGAGAGAGAGATACTGATTTCTTCTTTCACTTACTTATGCATTCATTGGTTTATTCTTGTATGGGTTCTGCCGGGAGATCTATCCTGCAACCTTGGCATATTGGGACGATGCTCTAGCCTGAGCTACTGGGCCAGGCTTTTCTGCTTTAAGTCAGCATAACACTCACCACCCTGATTGCCAGTGGAAAAACCCCACGTCCGGCCACCACTGCCTTGGGCCCCCTGGGGCTCTCTCAGGGTGAGCAGCAGGCTGTGGAGCAGTCTCTGTCCTGCCTTCCCTGGCATCGCAGCTTCCCAGGCCATTGACAGCTTCCGTGGTGGTGAGCCCTCACACAGGTGAACCCCCAAAGGTGTCAGGGGGTTCGGACCCTGGCCAGCCAAGAAGAGCAGGTAAGCACTGCCGTTCTTTCTTCCATCCTCCTCTCTCACTTTAAAGCCCCTTTTTCCACCACCACAGCAATACCTGCCTGCGGTTCAACATGTAAAGATGACAGAAGCGCACACTGCGGAAAGTGAAGGCCCCAGGATTTCATGCCCCAGAGCCCTTCTTTGCTAAGGTTTCGGTGTACACTCTCCTGGCCCCTTGTCCATGCAGACCCTGAACTATGTTGTTATGACAGGCGTATGTTTTTTATTTCCAAAACTTCCCCCATGAGGACATGTAACCTAGACCTAGCTTATGTGAGCTGTCTCCCTCGGATGCACATTCGAGCTGTTTCCATTGGTGACATAATTGCTGCAAATGCCACAGTCATAATTCAGTGACCATCCTCGCACATTTAAAGAAAAAAATCACATCTCCGATGCTATTTTCAGAATAGATTAATTAAAATGGAACTGCTCAGCCGAAGGGTGCTCTGACAGACAATGCCACAATGACCCCATTACTCACAGGAGTGCGGGCTGCTCCCCACAGCCTCACCAGCACGTGAAATGATCAATCTCTTCTTAATCTTGACCAATCTGCTGGGTGAACATATGAAATTTCAGCTTGCGTTTTCTAATTATAAATGAGGTTGACGTTCTTTTCATCTGTTACCTGTGTGATGAGAAGGGTCTTTGCCAGTCTCGGGGCTGAGTGCAGGGCCAGAGCACCGGCTGGTTCCAGGAAGTGGCTCGGCAGGAACCGGGGTTCACTGCTTCAGGGAGGTGATGGTATCTGGCATCTAAACAGACCGGAGCGTTCTAAGAGCATAAACTAAACCACGGCTGGTTGCTCCAAAGAGGAGACAAACATGCCACCCCCTGCGTTTGGAACCTTCGAGGGCCCCTGGGCACAGATAACGAGGAGGAGGGGGGTTTCTGCATGGCCAGCTCCCTGGCATGGTCAGCCCATCCTCACATTCCAGCTGCTCAGAGGCTCAGGGCCACCCCCCAGCTCCCCGCCCCTCACCTGGACTTCACAGCACTCAGCACTGCTTTCAGCCACCTGTGCACATGTGTGTCTTGTTATTTCATGTTTGTCTCTGGCCTCCAGGAGTCATTGCCGTAGCTCCAGAACAGGATGGCATCTGACATGCCCATCCCTGGTTCTCGGCTGGTGACCCCCGTTGGTCGGTGAATATTTGTGAAATGAAAACTGCTGAGCAGGGCACTGTGGGGGTGCTTGACATACCTTGTCTTTATCATTTCTCTTCTTCAATTTTTTAAAAATATATTTTATTGATTTTGTACAGAGAGAAAGGGAGAGAGATACAGAGCTAGAAACATCGATAAGAGAGAAACATCGATCAGCTGCCTCCTGCACACCCCCCACCGGGGATGAGCCCACAACCAAGGTACATGCTCCTGACAGGAATCGAACCCGGGACCTTTCAGTCCCCAAGCCGACGCTCTATCCATTGAGCCAAACTGGTTTCGGCTCTCTTCCTCAATTTTTATCTGACAGAGATTAAGCATTAAAAAAAATGGAAGCAGCGGCTGCCAGGCTGGGAGCGGCCAGGCCCGGGGGAGCAGGCAGTTCGGGTGTGGCCAGGCCCGGAGCAGCGGCTGCCAGGCTGGGAGCGGCCAGGCCCGGGGGAGCAGGCGGTTCGGGTGCGGCCAGGCCCGGAGCAGCAGCAGCCAAGTCCAGAGCAACTAGGTCGGGAGCGGCAGTGACCAGACCTGGAGCAGCTGGTTGTGGAACAAACCAGAGCAACAGAGTCCAGGCCCTGAGCAGCCAGGCCCGGAACAGCTCGCTCCTTGCCTGCCCCTGCCCCACGGCTGCTTCTCAGACATGGCTGAAAACTTTCTTGGGAACTTGAGGGTCTGCTGAATCAAGTGATGAAGGCTTAGATCTGGATGTGTTGAGTTAGTTTAGGACTGGGGTGTTGATCTGTGAGTGCCTTGGGTGGGGCCTGGATGAGGCTGGTGGACCTATTGGGAAAGGTCTTTTGTGTGAAGTGTATCATTGGGCATGTGGAGGTATTATTGATTTGAGAAAATGCTAAGTAACTGATTTACTATCTGAAAAGGGATTTACTATTGGGGAAAGGGAGGGAAGAAGAGACTGAACATAAACTGCACCTATGGATGAGGACAATGGGGGATGAGGAGAGGACAAAGGGTGGGGTGGGAACCTGGTGGAGGGGGGAAGAAATGAGGAACCTTTGTAATAATATGAACAATAAAGATTGATTAAAAAAAAAAGAGAGAGAGATGGGGGGGGCAGAAAGGGACGGGGAGAAATAGGGAGTTCCTAACCAAGAGGCATAAGTTTCAGTTAAGCAAGATGAATAAAGTCTGGAGAACTGTTGTACAACATTGTACTCATATTGCACATTTTAAAATTTGCATCTTTCTGTATTATATCACACACTTTAAAATGTAGATCTTTTGTTAAGTGTCTCCTACAATAAAATAATTTAAAA